ACATTATCATAGCGTTAATTCTATATGTGACCTGGCAGCTGTCAGTTCTGATAGGCATCGGCAGTTTTCTTGCCCGTTTACCTTTCAAATTATAATAGTATATTGTAAATAAATGCAGTAAACTGAACGATTTAAGATAATATGCGGACGTTAATGAACTTTTTTCTCTATCTTATTAAATTCCTACTATTAGCTCACATTCTCTCTATATCTTGCTGAAATTGTCAATCGTTAATAAAATACTTTTAATTCATCCACTCAAGTTCATGTACATTTTTTAAAATTTACAGTGGATGACATTTGATCTTAATACAGTTTTTTCACATATTAAAGTCAATTCGTACTTATTTATTCCTGTTTATCGGAACTAAAGATATGCTGTTCTTATATATATTGTAAGACAAATAATGGCCGTTTATTAGGAATTTTCACGTGCTGTAAAAATTAATTTTATAACAACTTATAAATAATAGTACATGACTGTGATAAATGGGATTGTAATATTTAACAAAAATAAGTGGCAACAGTAAGACAGAGTTCTAAAGATTTTTAAAGTGTATGGAATTAAAGAATTGTAGTTTTATAGAGTTGGGTGAAGCGGATGTAATGTCCCGTTACTTCGCAAAGTAAGTTGCAAAGCACTGTAGCCACTGTAACACTATAGATTATATAGTAATATATCTTGGAGGAAATATCTTCGCAGCAAGTTAAGCATATGTCGTCTTGAGTCGTAGACCACCATCAGCTTCATAAATTAGAAACGAAAAAAATTTAATAATGTTAATGAAAAGCAACTAAAATAAAATTTTTCTTTGTTGATCTAAGTAGGAATTATTTTTTTTTATATTACTTGTTTTTATATAATGTTACTTTACCTGTATGAACTAATTCGTTCTTTTCATTTATAAAAGGTCGTTCGTAAAACTTTGCCTAGGCTTGCATCTTCACAAAATTTGTTTACCCTGACTGAACTGTGAGCAGAAGAGTAATGATCGTTTGATCATTGAATGGAGAATAAAGTAATATTTCAAGTCATCAAAACTGACGTGAAAAAAATGTCAAGGCAAAATAATTCTCTTGAGTGATTTACGTCTATATGTGATTGAAAAATGTAGTAGTTATCATAAATTTCGATTGCTGGAGTTCGATAGAAATTTGCTTTATGGTGATATCATTCAACTTCTGATTTTAACCCAAAAATTGTAAGCAGAGGAAATCGCATGATTGCAGCTCGAGATTTTAAATCTAGATTTACAGGACTCGACATTTTGACAGATTTCCGACTTCATGAGAAAAATTAGAAAAGTCATTACTTTCTTCAATTTTATGCTGACGAATATCGATGTAATGAGACGAATACATACTTAAATTTATTTCCTCTTCAGCCGTTTAATTTCAAAACTCTGTATGATGTACACCTCTCTCTACGGATACCCGTCAAAATGACGGGTAAGCTAGTTTCATAGTTAATCATAATAAACCGGTTTTTTATGATATTATTTTTCTGGTGACAAATGTAAAAATAGTTAGAAAGTATATACTAAATAAAAATCATGAATCAACAAAAATATCTTTTCATAACTTCCGAACCCAGTATCAACGCACCGCGGTTGAAAGAACAAGGGATGTGTCACTGTGATTATCTGTCGATCGTACGCGTCTAAAGCGTAAAAATTAAGCATTAAGCTCAAAACTAAGGAACGATCTGCAGTCATTGAGCTCTAGTCGTGTCAAGACGTTTTAGAAAAAAATTCAATGAGTGCGAGTTGAGGCGATAGAGGAAAAAAGTACTAGTTATGATTATTAGCATTATTATTATATAATTAGGGAAAAGTACTAGTTTTGCTTTATTTCTGATGAAATATCTTTTAGTCACAATGAGTAATTCAAAATGAGATACTAAACTGCTAGAGACAAAGGAAATTTCTGTAGTACAAGCTCTGGTAAATCTGTTAAACCTAAACTACCGTAACTTTTTTGCATCGATAAAAACAATCACAAATTCGTCAAATTGACGGTTATCAGAAGGTATTAAGATAGAATTTTTTTAATTTAAATTAATCATTTTGTAAGAAAATACGCGGTTTCCTATACTCGTCAATTTGATAGATGAAATACAACTGTACAAAAATGTCCGTAAACCTAGTGTAAAACTTTTCCTTCGTATGCATACACAAATGAAAATTTGGAGAAATTTAAAAAAATCTAATTCTTCAAATCATATAAATTTTTGCAACTATCGTTGTAAATAAAGAATCACCTTACAAAATTCTTTGTATTTAATTTTTGATCAAGCTCATTGGCAGGAAGAAACAGTTTTAGAAACTAAATTTTAAAATTCTAAAATCAAAAGCAAGTGGATTTTAAGTATCTTTTTTTTTTTTTTTTTTTTTTTTTTTTTTGCATGTTACTGTAGGCAACTTACATATAAAATTTCCGAACTTAATAAAACTGTGTTTCAAACTTAATAAAACTGTGAAATTGAATTTTTTGTCAGTCAAGAATTTTTATTTGGCTTGTATTGAGAATACAGTACATTTAGTAAAATATCTTTGTTCATACTTGAAACCAATATCACTTCTTACTTAAATTCACATATATGGCTCTGTGCATTATTAGTCCAAAGGAGCTTTGTTCCTGAAGGACTATTGTTTTCGTTTTGCGATTCTGCGTTGAATCACTATAAATGTCCGTTTCTCTTTTCAAACCGTTGCCACCAAATGTTAGAGTCCTGTATTATATTTGAAGAAATTAAATAAGGAAAAATCTGCATAAACGTATGTATATTTCTCATATTGTGATAAAACAACGGTACATAGAGCCATCGAATTTTGAATGACGTAATCCTACTGCGAATATGGGCATGTGGAAGCCCAGATTTGAAATTTGGAATTAGTTTTATTATCGATTTCATATTTTGTAAAACTTTAACGAATTTTTGAGTAACAAACTGAGTGATTTGAAAGCGAGCAATGGCAACACTCTACGGGGGGGGGACCTTTTTATCTCCAGCGCGTCGAACTGTGCATCGGAAATTCTAAAGGTATGCTCGTTTTAAAATTATTTTGCGACGTTGCTATTGAACTAATTTTATGGTTTAAGTATAAAGAACGTGATATTTAATAAATAAAGGTAACACACTAAACGTTAAAAAAACGCCCCTTTGGACGTAATTTAAAATCTGGAACATTTCAGATTTTTTTTTATTATTATAATATGTTCATTAGAATACATATCATTGCCAATGAAGATATTCTGCTTTCCACAACAGGAATTTTTTATTGTTCACGTAAACCCGTTGTATTCATTCAATCTAGCAGTGCCCCTTTTTATTTCCTTATACGAACTAACGGAAATATTGTAATCGCAAAAAATTTCAGGTATTATATTTCAACGAAAATATAAATTTTGACGGCTCTCGAATTCATCTTAACGATGTTTTTGAGGGACATCTGTATGTGCGGACAGAATAAAGGTCTCTTTTTCTCGAAACGGATAAAAAATGGATTCAGAAAAGATTTTTTTTCGCGACGTCTGTGCGTACGTACGTATGTGTGTATCTTGTATAACTCAAAAACGAGTAGCCTTAGAAAATTTTGTACGTGGGACCGCTATAACATGTAGTTATGCACCCCCTTTTTTGGTTGCAATCGGTCGCACCAAAAGTATAGAAATACATGTATACCCACTCTGTTACTAGGCTCAGGGAGCTCAGGTTTTTTTTTTTTTTTTAATTATTATTCTTATATGTTTGTAAATTGTGCAGTTTTTGCTTTAAAGGTGATTGAATTATGTTCTTCTTATGATCCGGTTAAGGTTTTTATGCCTTTAATTAATCTGCATGCAATAGTTGTAGAATTATCAACAATTTCAAAGTTAAGTGCGACTTGATATGCGCAACAAAATTTTTATAATTTAATAGGCCGTACAAGGAATTCATGTGGTGTCCACATCAGATTTCTTTCGCATAGTTTTGAGGTAAACTTCAAATTTATGTAAAATTAATTCGGAAAGCAGAAATATTTCAGTTCTTAAAGCATTCGTAAAATGAACTGGTTATTCCAATATAATATTTTAGTAATAGAAAATTTCTATAATGCATATAAATTTGTAACATATCATCATCATTTACTTTGATTAACATTACAAATTATGTTAAGGAGAAGTATTATCTTTCAGGAAAACCCCCCAAAAGAATATTTTCTATCATTTCTTGCCAATAAAAATTACACATAGAGATTTCTTTTCTGTGTACTTGTAATGCCTTTTACTAAAACATTATTGGAGCAAGTATGCAAGTATCGAATGTATTAGGACTTGTTCTATTAATTCTTTTACCTGTATTACTAATTATTTTTTTAAGAACTGTAATATTTTAGTTCTTCTGGTCTTTGAATTAAGGCTGTGCAGTTTTGAATGTTATCGTGATTGCAAGGCCTGTACAGGACTCAAATGAATTAACAAAGCATTTTTATAAATAATTATGGCTAACATTATAACTGGAAACTTTCAAATAAAGTCTGTTCAAAATGATGCTACGAAATATGAAGAAACTGGATATTTTATTAATTTTTGCGAATTTTATCGGATAAAATGTAACAAACATATTATTTCTGTTCTAGTGGTAACAGAGTATTCATTTACAAATCAAATGAATCCTGGTTGAGAAAGCATTCTTCAGTTTTTAAGATATAGTCACCACTTCCAGAAACATAACTTTGAGGAAAACGTATTTGCACTCAATTTTGACTTGATTGTAAACCTTCATAATTTCCTTATTTCTTGACAGTTGCAAGAAATTCTTCAACGTACTTATTCTAAAAGAATATAGAAAAATAAAATACATAATAATAATAATCGAATTTTGGAATCTGATATATGACAATATTCCCTTAATGAAAACAAAAGGAGGCATTTTATAAAATTAGTTCAATACTAAAATTCAATAAATTATTTTTTTAAATATATAGCTTAAAACCCTATTTCACTTTTATTTACAGATGCCATTTTTTGGGCTGGAAGTTCTATCAGACCAGATAATACAGGCTTTATTGTTCCAAGACACAATGCTACGTAAGTAGATCCTACATTGATATGCGCAAAAATTTATTTAGTCCAAAATTCTTTTCAGAAAAAGACTTTATTTGCGTATTGCTAGACGTTATTTAATTACAATAAACTTAATTTTAGTTTCTACAAGCGATTTTGGCGTATAAATTCGCCAGAGGTTCAGTTACGCTTTTAAATGTTGATTCTAAAAATATAAATATGCAATGAAATATTTCACAAAAATTTCCATTTTCTTACGTTTGACAAGCTGATTGCCTATTTAAATTTTAATATTTTAAATTTTTTTCAGAATTTGTATCATAGAATTAAATTATACTGGGATGTTAAGAAGTGTTTATAGCAGGATAGTAATTTTATGGTGGTACGAAGTTTTACACTTCATATTACTTAATAAGTCACTTTACGAGTATAACTATTGCGTTTCACTAAAGAAATATTAATAAGTTGAAAAGAATTAATAAAATGTTTATGTACACAGTCAAAGATATTGGTTATTATTAAATTATTAACCATAACTAATTAAAACGAGAAGTATTTTTGGCATCATCACAGCATTGCCTTCTTCGTCTTGGCAGCAATACTTTCTTTGTCTTAACAGCATTACCTTCTTTGTCTACATAAAAGGTGAGTGACATGAAGATTATAAAATCAAATCTTTGATAACTTTTTATTTGTTAAAAAGGCTGTCTGTAATGAGCATTCATCGGAAAAATGAAGAAAAAAAATCTTATAACGTCATCTATGGTTGGAAATGAAACCAGAGATCCAAGTAAACTGAGATATAATTAATTTTAGTTTGGATAGAAAAAAATAGGTTGGAATTTAAATCGATTAAAGTAGAAAGGTTTGCCCAAAATTATCTAATTCATTAAATGTGGAAATTCTTCCAAAATATTTTTATGCAGCTTCTGGATTGCTAGTAGAAGTAAACATTTCGAATGTTGTTCCATTCCTCAATTAACGATTCCTGAATATTTGACATGAATTTAAAATCTAGCAAAAGGGCAGTTTTAATTTGGCGAAGATTTTGAATAAACTTCTACCGATTTCACAGATAATCAGACACAGATCCCTCTTTCTCAGAAAAAGAAATTGCTCCTGAGGAAGAGGAACCTGTGTCTTATCTTTGATTGCCATCGAAATCGATGATAGGTTTATAATCAAAATTTATGCCAAACTAAAACTGCTTTATTTTAACTTTTACGCTGGAGTGTTTTAATTCCAGTTTGATCTGAAATGCTCTTGAAACAGTGCCCTTTAAAGTGAGATTTTCTCAAATACTCCGTGGACATCAAAACTGGCGAGCTAAGGGAATTAAAGAAATTTATTTATTTATTTATTGCAATAAGCTGCTCGACAACAATTGCGCTAAACGAAGAAAACCATCTTCCTTTTTGCTGTCCACTAAATTCGAACAGCAGATGCCCACTGGCGGCCAAGCGGTAAAGTCGCTGAACACTGGTATTTCGGGCCGTAGTTCGAATTATTCCGGAGGACGGCTGGCTGCATAAGCGTTTTCGTGTTTTTCTCCGTGTGTAACTTGTATATGAGTCAGTTTCCTTTAGAAAGCCGTCCAAGAGGGCATCCCTCCTCTTCGGCATTTAGCTTTTGAGTGCTTTGCCATAATCAAATAAACCAAACCAACAGCAGATATTGATTACCATAAAATCAAACGGAGAATTTCATTGAAACTTCTTTCCTTTAATGAAAGCAAATTCATATGTGTTATAAACCATTACCAACCGCTATTAATGTATTTGGCAGTATCATTGATACTGATGAAAAAATGTTCGAGCTTAAAACTTACGCATTGCGTTTTTATAATTCGTGATATTAAAATAGGTGTGCATTAAATTAAAATAGTAATTTATATCTAATAGTAACTGAATAATTCTGAAATTACATTGCATCCATAATATCGAAATTCTCCTTTTAGTATTTAAACTTTTTTTCTATACATTCTTTGCTCGGTAAAGTGGCAAACGAAAACTGAAAAATGATTTGGTATTTCACATTCTTTTGGACTATATTATGTTGTAAATAGCAGTTGTGTATGGATCAGAAAGCAAAACTGAGCTCTTGAGATACTATCTGAACTTTTTGAAAACGCCTTTGTAATTCATTCTAAGTCAGTGTTAGAGAAAAATGAATATTTCATTCACAGTGCCGATGTGGATAATTTTTGTAATAGCACACTTCAAATAAAGGTTAAATTTACATTACAAAAAAGGCCTCATTTTAAATTTTAATCGATTACTGCAGAAAAACTGCAAAACTAAATAAGTTTTATTTTGCTGTGAAGGGAATGATTTGTTTTTATTCCTTAATTTTTTTAGCTGCTTTGGTCATTGCATAGTGTTAGTCATTACTTTTCTTTCGGGAATGATTGTTGCATTTTGCACTGAAAAGCATACCCGTTATTTACAAATGCATAGGAATGAAATGGAGATGTTTATTTTTTAAAGAAATTGATCTATGCGATAGTCAAGTAAACTCTTGTACGTGTCCAGAAGTTTATCAGGAAAGCATTCTCTGAATAATAATACAAAACATCTTATGAAGGATTTTTAACCAATGGATTTTCGCATTGTAAGATTAATATTAAAAAGTATTATTTTACTAACCATTCACATCGGCAGATAATCTCGGAATGAGTAATATTTTTGTTAACAGTTTAAATAAATATGGCTGAATGATGACGTTTTATATGCTCATAGATGCTGAAAATGAAACTCATAAACTTTACAGCTTGATTTCACCCTTGAGACTCAACATTTTCTCGATGATGATCATTTTTCTGATTTTTAATTATTATAATTCTATTTTCAATTCAGAATTAAGGTTGCCATATGCTGTATAAATGCATCCTTTTGATTTTGAGAATCACTAGACAGTTGCTCCAAAACGAGCCGTAAGAAATTATTATTACTGTAGGAAATATAATCTCTTTTAATTTTTCTTTTTAAATTGTGATAAGATGTTAAGATATAAATCATTAAAAATATATGATGAAATAAAAACAAAACAGTCCTTATATTTATATATTTCTCTTTGTAGATTTAATAGAATACTTGTTGAGATTAATAAAAATAGCTAATAATAAAAGAGAAACACAAAAAATAGATGTATTTAAGTATGCATAAACTTCACTCTATTGGCTTTTTCCAAATATAAATTGTTCCAACTCACTCCGAAATTTATAGAGAAACTCCAGCTCTTTTTGGTCAGTCATCATAATCTGAGTGGATAAAACCATTGAACGCTTTGGGTTCATTCAGAATATGACTGCGTGAGGTTTTGTTAAATGTAAGGGGAATAGAAGACTTTTCTCCATTTCCCTCTGGCGAAACGTCAAAATGAATCTTATTTTTTTATTTAATATGAATATTAGTATTTTTGAGATACAAAATTAATTTTGTTAAGGAAGTCTTCTACGAAAACATATAACCTTCATGGCTCACTAATATGAGCGCTGAGTTTTGAAATTTGTGTCACTGTATTCGCAGAGTCGTTGAAAATTAAGTAATGCTGTAAAATAATTGCGAACTATTACAGTTATATTTCCACTAAAACTGAACTTATATTGAAAATTTTATAACTACCTCTACTGCAATTTAAACGCATATCCTTTTTGGTAAACCCATGCTTCAGTAAAGATCTTAAAAACCAGCATAAACTCAAGTGAAATCATATCTTGAATCACGCAAGATCACTATGAGGCATTTTCTTTTATAATTTAACAAAACGCAGCACATCGTGAAAACTGTACTTAGAAGCACTCTGAAAATATATGACGGAACATCACTACTGTACATGTAATGCATCATTAAATTGGTATACAACTAAATTTTCCCAAAGGTCGGAAATCTAAAATTGCCTTGACCGATTTAGGCAGTATTATTACTACTAACCTAGTACCTGTTTTCCTCGATTCATAGCATCTTCATTCATATGTATCTCAGGTATAAACTGCATTTTAAAGTATACTTATCAGCAGTAAATTTGAATTTCTGTTTCGAAGGGCATTGGTGCTCTTTCCAGGTCAGATAAACTTTATTTCCTATTTTTAAGTTTCTTAGGAACATATTAGACTTTTTTTTATTGAAAAAAAATATATTTACTTTCTTCATTTTTAGAATCATTAAAACAGTGATTAAAAATGTGAATGATTTAAGAACTATTTAAATTCTGAAAATCGGTAGTTCTGTGCTGAATATTTTCTGCACAAATGTAATTTATATTTTAGCTGGGTGTATACCATTTTTATTCTCATATACCATTTTTATTTTCATAAGCTAAATAATAAACTCTTTTAGCTCAAACGAACAAGTTAAAAAGTGGGAAATTTTTTAATTTAAAATAATGTGCCAAAATTTTAAATTTCATTTCATTTTTAGCTAACTTTTTATTATGTAAGGAAACAGTTCATAAAAGTAGCATCGGGGCAGCAGCTTTTCGACTTATCTAATGTTCATGCAATTTTCTTAAAACTTTGCTGTTACTTATTGCATCATATCTACTATAATAATATCAGATTCATTTCTGAGTAATTTTTCCTTTGTAAGGTCGAACGACAAGGGCAACTTAAAGGCGTATTTCTTCTAACAACTTGAGAGCATCAAAATAAATAAATAAAAAAATCTCTTTCCACACTTCAGATAGCAACCACCCTTCCTTGAGGCATCTGTTAGTTCATAAATGATTTTACGAACAAACAATTTGTGTCATCCTAAAGCTGCGTGGTGCAAGGTGGCTTAAGATTTTCTTTTTTAAAAATTAATTCTACGTATTAACTTCTTATAGCTTTTCTAAAATAAGGCACAGAACTGTATAATAAACGTTTTGAGGTGATGTAGAGTCCAAGATGTTTTTGTTTCAAGCACAGAATTTTTGTTTTTAAATAAATAAAGCACAACTAATAACACCATAAATCTTTTCTGGGACAGAAAAAAATTTCGTTTTTATTTTTATCGGAATCCTTTGACAAGCACTGTAGAAACATT